ACTACCAGCTCATCAAGTACGAGTCAATCAGGCACGAGTCAGCTAGACACGATCCAATCAGATACAACTCTATCAAGCAGTACACAACTAGGCTCAAGCCAATCAAGTACGAGTCAACTACACATGAGTCAGCAAGGCATGAGCCACCCAGGCGTGTGGCACCCAGACCTGAGCCAACCAGTCCTGCACCACCCAGGCATGAGTCAACCAGTCCTGGGCCACCCAGGCATGTGGCAACAAGTCCTGGGCCAACCAGGCACGTGGCAACCACTCCTGGGCCAACCAGGCATGTGGCAACCAGGCATGTGGCAACCAGGCATGAGCGAAACAGTCCTGAGCCACCCAGGAATGTGGCAAACGGGCCGAAGGCAACCAGCTACCAGCTCATCAAGTACAAGTCAATCAGGCATGAGTCAGCTATACACGAGCCAATCAGATACAACTCTATCAAGCAGTACACAACTAGGCTCGAGCCAATCAAGTACGAGTCAACTACACATGAGTCAACAAGGTAGGGGCCAACCAGGCATGAGCCAGCCACGCATGTGGCACCCAGGCCTGAGACAACCAGTCCTAAGCCACCCAGGCATGTGGCAGTCAGGCATGAGTCAACCGGTCCTGGGCCACCCAGGCATGTGGCAACCAGGCCTGAGACAACCAGTCCTGAGCCACCCAGGCATGTGGCAGTCACGCATGAGTCAACCAGTTCTGGGCCACCCAGGCATGTGGCAACCAGTCCTTGGTCAACCAGGCATGAGTCAACCAGTCCTGGGCCATCCAGGCATGTGGCACCCAGGCCTGAGCCAACCAGTCCTGCACCACCCAGGCATGTGGCAACCAGTCCTGGGCCACCCAGGCATGTGGCAAAGAGGCCCAAGGCAACCAGCTACCAGCTCATCAAGTACGAGTCAATCAGGCACGAGTCAGCTATACACGAGCCAATCAGATACAACTCTATCAAGCAGTACACAACTAGGCTCGAGCCAATCAAGTACGAGTCAACTACACATGAGTCAACGAGGTAGGAGCCAACCAGGCATGAGCCACCCAGGCATGTGGCAACAAGGGCTGAGCCAACCAGTCCTGAGCCACCCAGGCATGTGGCAGCCAGGCATGAGTCAACCGGTCCTGGGCCACCCAGGCATGTGGCAACCAGCCCTCTGCCACCCAGGCATGTGGCAACCAGTCCTGGGTATGTGGCAGCCAGGTCCAAGTCACCCAGACCTGAGCCAACTAGGCCTGAGTCAACCAAACCCAA